CTGGGGGGAGGGGCAGGGAGCACAGAAGTGTCCTGATCCCACCCCTTCTGCCCAAGTCCCTGCCCCTTCTGAGGCAGCCTTGTCCACCCCTGTATTATAGCGTGGGTACATCTGCAAGGGAGCTGGAGGCAGAGTTTCCTGCTCGGTAGATGTACACTCACAACACAGGCTGCTAAAAACAGCAAGGTAGCTTCTGAGACCAATCAGACTGTAGGCATGCACTCAGGGGGCTAACGCATCCTGCTACCGATGCCACCACAGCTACACTACTATTTTTAGCGCACACACTCAATCAAACCTACCTCACGTACATCTCCCTGAGCTGGAAATTACACCAGAGCTCTAGCGCAGATGTACTCTGGCGGTACGGGCCTCAGCATGATCTAGCAATCAGAGTACTCACTCAGGCTCCCCCCGGCAGATTTGTACTCTGGTTGCTAGCCCAGGCTACTATGTCCCCACTAGCTGGTGTGGATATGCCTACCCGTGCTACAACCACACTTTCATTTGCAGCGAAGCGATACACTCAGTTCCTCCACTTGTCAGTTTTCTTTACCCACCTGTGTAAAGCAGTCTGAAATCTATGTTGGACACCAGTGCTAAGGATTATCTGGTTTATCTACACTAATTATTTCTTGTGCTTTTCTGAAAATGAAAGGTTTAAATATTTTTTCAGCTCTCTTATGCTTGGCACTCCTTGCTGTACCAATGACACAGCTATGCTCAGTTTGCGTGCACCAGCTATAAATATGCCTGGGAAATGTATATCATTTACATAAGAACGTCCACACTGGGTCAGACCAAAGGTCCATCTTGCCCAGTGTCCTGTCTGCCGACAGTGGCCAATGCCAGGTGTCCCTGAGGGAGTGAACAGAACACGTAATCATCTAGGGATCCAGCCCGTCACCCATTTCCAGCCTCTGACAAACAGAGGCTAGGGACACCATTCCTACCCATCCTGGCTAATAGCCATTGATGGACCTAACCTCCATGAATTTATCTAGCTCTTTTACATATACTGTAGCAGCACCTAAACGACCTATCCCAGAGCAAGACCCCTTTGTGTTGGGATGGATTGTGCCATACAGACTTACAGCCTAAATAGATATGACACACAGACCAGAAGAAATTAAATATCCTCATTTTACTGGCAAGGAATGGAGGCACAGCAACCTGTCCTAGGTCACAAAAGAAGCCAGTGGTGGAGCCACAACTGAACCTAAATCTCAATCCACTAATTTAGCCACAAGGCCATTGTTCCTCTCGGATGCAAAACAGGACTTTCAGATTACTGTGCTGCTCATAAGATCCTAAAGAAACACTCATAGGATGGTAGTGGATGCTGTGGGAGGATTCTGTTTATAAAAAACAATCCCTCCAGTCACACAAGTAACACATTCAAAACCAGGATCAGTCAAAAATCGATCCCATTTATATTTAGTTATAATGCTTTTTTTAATGAAACACACATACTGTTGTAATAAGGGATGAAGAACAAACAGCCTTTCATCTGCAAATCTGTAAATCACCAAAACTTGCCATCTGATGGCTGGCCGATAAAAATAATTAGTGGATCTCTGTCCCAGTCGTAACTGATGAATGTCTACATGATAAAAAGAACATTACTGATTTGTTAGCAGATCCAGAAGATGTGCCAATGATTAAACTAAACCATGTATTTACCTTTAAGATGCTGGCAGTTTCCAGAATGTTTGGATACTGGACATTTATCTGTTCGACAGGGTTAAACCTGAAACCTAATCCCTTTTAAAGGAGAAAGAGAATAGACAGTTTCACCACCACCAAGTATCCAGTTCCCTTCAGGCAACCAAAGAAAACAGATTCAACAATAGTAGAATTGTTCTCAAATTAGTTACATCTTATTGAAGGGTTTAACTCTGCATAGACTTTCAATTTCACAGACATGCCTTTTGCTCTGTGCTTTATCATGTGACTGCCTTGGACACTAGGGGGCAGAAGGAAAAGGTTAGAATTCTACAAGCAAGAAAGCTCCCCCCGCCCCTCAACAAGAATATTGTGCGGTTGGGTTGATTTGCAAGCCAAACAGAGTCCAATCAAGCGTACTATTTGAAAACCACAGAGGCATGCACTTCTAAGGACCAACATTTTCTAAAATTCCTTGTCCCCTAAGTTTCAAGCATCAAAAAATTACAGATGGTAAAATGCTTACTTATGTGGCATTTCTAATGCTTACTCTCTCCTGCTCCCCATACACCTATTTAAGAGGTAAAAACTGGATCTATCCATATTGCTTTTTCCTGGGGATTCCCAAATCAGGCTTCTTGTCTATTTCAATCTAATTTGCCGTTCCTATCCAATGGGAGCCATGGGAAGTGGTGGCCTGCACATCCTTTGACCCAGGATGCTTCCTGTGGCTCCCATTGGCTGGAAATGGTGAATCACAGCCACTAGGAGCTAAGGCCTGTTGACACTCCAGGTAAACAAAGTCCAGGTGCACCAGCAGCTTCCCTAATAGCCTAGAAGCCGAAGTTTGCAGACTCCTTATCAATTACAATTACAACATATTAGATATTCAATCGACTCCTTATCTACAATTACAACATATTAGATATTCAATTCAATAGACTTTAAAATGGTCAACTTTTGGTCTCGAACCATTGATAAGTCGACCCATGCTCTTTGATGCTTCATTTTTACCAAACAAAAGAAAACGGTTTATGAATGAATATACATTGTACTGTACTTGTTGGGTTTTTCTGAGAGCTGAGAAAGCTTTTCAGAAATAGAAAAGTGCACTTTCTATATGTAACAGAAAGATTTCAATTTGAAAGCTACAAACTTTGACAGTGTCCCTTTTAAATACCTTTTAACACACAAAAAGAGATTATGTTTTAGGTGGAGGTGCATTATAAAACCATCTTGCAAAGACAGCCATCCTTCAAGATAGTTTAAGGGCATGTCTACACTAGGAAATTATTTCGAAGTAACTAAATTCAAAATAACTCCCAAAATAACAAAATCAAAATAGTGTGTCCACACTACAGGGGGAACCTCAAAATTAGTCTGAGACAGACTCCATTATTGTGGACTTGCTACCTTGACTTACAGCCCAGGAAGCACTGGGGAGTAATTACTTCAAATTACTCTGGGGAATAGTTATTTCAAAATAGCAGCAGCAGAGCATCCACATTAATGCTATTTCGAAATAACTATTTTGAACTAAGCGTTCTTCCCCAAGGAAAGCAGGAGTACAGATTTCAAAATAACCAGCCAGTAATTTTGAAATAATGGGCTTGGTAGCGTGAACGTTCTGCTTACTATGTCAAATTCAGGGGGGTTATTTCAAAATAACTCCCTAGTGTAGATCAGGGCTAAGAGATCAGCAAAGGCTGACTCATTCCTGGAGACTCAACAACACCCCACCACCCCCAAAAGTGGCTCCCCTCCAACTCTTGAGAACTGAGCCCATTAATGTCCTGGGAAATTAGTACAGCTTGGTTCAAAAGCACCATATTTATTTTTAAAATACATCTTTTACTCATAGATGGCTGTCTCACCACTATTATGGACTCTTATCTACAGCTGAAGCACCTCCAATTACTGCTCTCACAATGTAGCACGAAAGCAGAAAGACACTCTTACTGCCACAAGTGATCATAATCAAGAGCTCCCAAAGGCTTATTTAAGTGAATGAGCCACATCACACATGGATCCATGCTGAATAGCCTGAATGAACAAGTGCCGAACAGTGAACAACATTTCTCTTTCCAGAGGAGTCACCACTAGTCGTTTAAATAAAAGGAAGGTGTCCAAGCCCACTCCAGACATAGGGAGCAAACATTTCGCTTTCAGCTGTCTCCTCTTTCTTTACAATGAAACACAGATGGTAAAAATCTTCAACTAACCCTGGATCCATGCTGAATAGCCTGAATGAACAAGTGCCGAACAGTGAACAACATTTCTCTTTCCAGAGGAGTCACCACTAGTCGTTTAAATAAAAGGAAGGTGTCCAAGCCCACTCCAGACATAGGGAGCAAACATTTCGCTTTCAGCTGTCTCCTCTTTCTTTACAATGAAACACAGATGGTAAAAATCTTCAACTAACCCGTAGCTAGGAATCCAAAAAGGGGGGTAGGGAAGATGGACAAAGGAATTCAGTTGCCGGAAGAGCGCACAGATTTAAAAATAAACTGAAGGGAGTCATGAATAATGCCAGGCTGCACGGGAAAGTCTGAAGCCTGGGAGACCATAAGAGAATATGATTTCTCTACACAGTGGATGATTCTAGAGAAATTCCACACCCTCTGTATCTATACTGCCTCACCCTCTGTATATGCTCTAAGAATTTGCTAAGTGTGACCCTGATCCTGCAGATTTATGCATATACTTAACTCTGCACATGAGCAAGCCCATTCCCAGTGGCCTTGCTCACGTGCATTTAAACATGCGTATAAATCAATGCAGGATCAACACCTACGGGAAGACATGCCATTTCTCCAAGTCTGAAGATGTGGAACTTTTGACTAGACTCTAGCTGATCATGGTCCGTCCTCCCCGGAATTTTTGGGGAACTTCGCAACTAAAACTCACTGTTTTTTCACAAACAAAATTTTGTGCAAAATTTCAACTCCCTCAGATTACAATACTTGGGGCCCAGGTTTTCCATGAACATTTTAATACTTTGAGGCTTATTAAGACAGGAATTCAGTCCTGCTCCTATTGAAGTCATAAGGAGTTTTGC